TTCTTCACTTAACAACTGTGGCAAGAAAGATCATTGTCAGGATTCCGATCAATGCCCTAATTAAATCATGAGCTTCAAGCCAAGCTTCAAAAGAAATCCAGTTATTTATTAGGAGCGTCATGTCAGCACGGACCAAATTAAGCGAACTCTGACCTCACTTAATTCACGCCTTGGCTCTGACTCTGTTTACCCTTCCTCCCAAGGTGTGTCATCAGTCACATACCCCAACGAGGCAATTTCACGGGTTATAGAAGTCACTCCCTCTGGCCACCGTGGATCTCCGTGGAGATGGCCTTGACGTTTGCCAGCTAGAATGTGCTTTGTTTTAACTGTAGTGCAAGTTCCTTGATGCAGCTGGCGAGGCTCGATTCCCCACCCCCCTGACTATGGCAACTCAAGAGCAGGTCAGGAATGCTTCGCAAGTTGACAGTCATAAAATGGGGAAAGATTCACTTAACAACTGCCTTGCTTAGTGACATAAATTTTGGGCTCAATTGTGGTCATAAGTTGAAGGCTACCTGTAGTGTGATTCTATAGAAATGAATGCATTCAGACTACTGAAGATAATTTATAGCACAAATATCTGCTTGAGCTTTCAGAAAAGAGGCCACATTGGTGGTAGTAGCCATGCCAATGTTGACCTTACTTCCCTAGAGTACAATACTTAATTAGCTTTTCTTAATTGCAGCACTGAAAATCTATAGCCAAAATGATTCATAGGGTAATTGGCTGGGAATTAATAGAAGCTGTCCTCAAATCTAGAGAACGCTTGCCGCATAAGTATTCTTTATTGCTTAGAGTTATTTCCACCCTGCCTTCTCCTTTAACCTTTCATGGCTAACTGCCTTCCAATTCCAGTTGCTTCATTTATGAGCATTTTTTCCTACATGAATTTTCTTGAGAAATTGGTTTCCCAACTTATTTTGCAATAAGACTGGTCTGCTTCTGCATTCTCTATTACAGGGTGATCCTTGGCCTCTTGGGGACCTTTATTCTCATTTGCAAAATATTCTGGGGTTTGTTTCCTACATCTCATCACACTGTCATGTGGCTTGACTGTGGTTAAGGGGCAGTGTAAATCCAGCCATTGTGGTTGATGGCTTAGCATGCTGTGTGAACACATTCTACTGAACAAGCCATGGCAAGTAAATAATGTGTCAGCTTAGTTTCTCATGTTATACGGTTAACCAATAACCAGTGATATTTTCAATATAATGGCGACGTTTCTACATTCTTATATCCTTTTTATCAGGCAAGAGTAAAATACTTTTTGTCATGATCATCATCCATTCACTTTACCTGGAAGGCAACCTGAGCTAGAAAAATAAGTTTGTCTCTCTCAAAAAGTCCCCGAGCCGTGTACATGAAAACTGAATAGGTGATTTCATCTGTAAGGTTGATCACCCTGTGTTTGACATCTTCTGCTGGAGCTGTGCGCTGAATAGCTTTCTCAAACACCACGTTGAAAGCCTGAATAGAAAAGAAGAACAAGGAGAAGAAGTCAAAATGCCAAACCATGTGGGGTTTCAGGCAGATGCCTTGCTTTGTATTCTGGAACAGAATATTTGGGCATTAGCAAAACATAAGGCCCAAGGTTTGACTCTCTGGAAAATGTTTTTTCCCTCACTGCATCTGAGGAGTTTTCTTCCTGCTTGGATCTTAGTCATTCTTCCTCATCATAGAAAAAAGTCCCAATGGGCAGCTGTAAGGTTTCTGCAAAAAAAGCTGAGCGTATCTCCATAAGGAAAGAGACAGTGGTGGGATTCAATTTTTTTTTACTACTGTGGGCATGGCTTAGGCGTGGCTTGGTGGGCGTGGCAGGGAGGATACTGCAAAATCCCCATTTCCTCCTGATCAGCTGGCACTCGGGAGGCAGAGAATAGATGGGGATGGGGCCAGTCAGAGGTGATATTTACCGGTTCTCCGAACTACTCCAAATTTCCACTCTGAACTGGTCAGAACCTCTGACAGAGGGAGCTATTTTTTGTACAAAAATAGAACCAATGACTATCCAAACAGCATGTTCTACTATTAGTTACCTTCAGGGAGAATTGATAGATGGGGTTGATTTTGTTTAGGTCATTTAATATAAAATACAACAGGGATGCCCTTTCTGCAGCTGGCCTGTAGTTCTCTCTGGCTTCATTGATTTGTATTTCAGTAACTTTAGCCTCTGTCACCTAAAGAAATACAAAAAAACCACCATTTTTAAAGAATAAAAAAATAGACCACGACGTGTGATATCTATGTTGCTGGATTGGTAAATCACATGTACATTTGTCAGCGCTGTTGCTGAGTGCATAGTGTTGCATAGTGAAGTTGAGCCAGCTAGCTTACTTTTTGTTCTATTTCATTAGCTGTGCGCTTTGTGGTCTCCAGATTTTCTACCAAGGCTGTATCTCCTAAGAAGTTTCCTGATGCAGCAGAGAGTCTAGCTAGCAAGGAATCCTCTAGTTCTTTCAGGATGATCTTGAATTCATTCTGTTGTTTTGTGAGAGTAGCCTATACCAGAAACAGAGGGGGGGGGGGAGAGCTTTTGTTATTTATCAGCAAATCTCTTTTCTTCTTACACCAAAGCGAGACCATTTGCAACATGGAGCTGCAGGTTCCTATCTTAGATGAGGTTACTGTGTAAAAATGGGATATGAATTCTTGGATTTTCCCATTAACCTCAGGGGTGGATTCTACTGGTTCGGATGGGTTCGGGTGAACTGGTAGTTTCGACCATCAGTTGGGAGTGGACCGGTTCGCTCCGATGATGAAGTGAGTCCACCCACCCGCCCTGCGCTTAACTCACTTATATCTTCTCAGCGGAGTCGCGCAGCACAGTGAATTTCTGCGCCTCAGGTGTTTTTCTCCCCAACAGTAATGCGAAAGGTAAGTTTTCTCAACTGAGCATGTGTGTAACGCACCCGATCACTGAACCGGTTGTTAAACCGGTAGCATCCCACCACTGACTACATTTTAAATACACATTTATCTATTGTGAAAGCTACACACCAGTGCTATTCCCCTTTATAAAACACTTGGGTTGTTGCAGTCCTGGGACATAATAAACAAACATATTAAGGAAGAAGACAAATCTGAACACTTGTTTTAGATTCTCTGCTTTTTTCAATTTGCCAAATAGGCTGGATATCAGCTTTCATAATTTTTGTCAATGCTAGCTGAGGTTTAATAAGTGTCAATACATCTGAAGACTATCATATCAGGAAGGCTGTCTTAAGACAACTTGGTTTCCTTTGGCATTACTAAGATGACTACTGCATAGTCCATAACTCAGAAGCCCACAACTAGTAATGATAATACCTTCAGTTCCTCTAAGTCAGGTCTTTCCTTAGCAACCACAGCAGCTAAAAGCTGGTCTTCCAAGCCATCCCTGGTAACCAAGAAGTTGATCAACGTGCACTGAGCCTGCATCTCTGGCTTGTAGTGGGGATTGAAGTACTTGGTGTGCAGAATCAGGCGAAAGTCGGGGTGGTACTCTACTTCCTTGTCTCCTATTTTAATGTATCTGGGAATAAGAGTTTGGAAATATGTAAAAATATTGCATAAACTAATGTAACTCACTTTTGCTTGTATTCACTATTGATGGACATAGCTACTATCTCTGTCCCACCATCATTTTGCTTTTTTTTTCATTTTAGCTTAGACTCGGTGATAGAAAATCAATCCTTTTTGTCTAGAACAGATGGTTCAATATGCAGGGAACTGCTTATCAGGTCAGATCATCAATTCATTTAGTTTAAGATTGTCTATGTAGACTGGGAGCCGTTGCCAAACGCTGAGTAGTGCTATTGACCCATGCTTCAATTGGCAGAAAGCTGTAGTTTTCTACAGTCGCTGTCTTTCTACACTGTCAATCTTTATCCTGCACCAACCGCTTGTTTTTTTGGCTTGTTGCCAAATGGTGGTATCTTGATTCCAGCCGCTCAGGTACAAAGCTATGGGTAAAGCTCCCTGGCTTTACTGCACCATCCTCCTTTTTGGATATGACCAACCATTGGCCAATCATATGCCAGTCAGAGCAGCGATGCAGTCTTGGGGCTTGGGGTGATGGCAGATGTTGACTGGTGGCTGACTTGATTATGAGCAGCTCTTCCAAGATTATCATTACACCAAGACCAGGGGTGAAATCCAGCAGGTTCTGACAGGTTCTGGAGAACTGGTAGCGGAATTTTTGAATAGTTTGGAGAACTGACAAATGCCACCTCTGGCTGGCCCCAGAGGAGGGTGGGAATGAGGATTTTTCAGTATCCTTCCCCTGGAGTGGGGCGGGAATGGAGATTTTTCAGTATCCATCCCCTGCCACACCCACCAAGCCATGCCCATCACACCACGCCCACCGAGCCATTCCCACAGAAACGGTAGTAAAAAAAAATGAATTTCACCACTGGCCAAAACGTCTATCAGAACCGGGGAAGTTCCATGGTAAAGCAGAACGGGCATTTGCAAAACCCAATGGCAGCAATCCAGATTGCTGAACAGCTGATCAGTGGGCTGGACAAACTGTGGCAAAGCAAGAAGTTTAGGTTGATCAGACTTGAGACCGACACCTTTTTTTTTCTTTGTAGTGCAGCTCCCCCCTGACCCCCAGTCTGTTTTTCTATGGCTTCTAAGGAACTGCAGGGTAACTTGATGATAGCTGCCGCCACCAGTTCTTTCTATCTGAAGTTAAAAAGGAGGGCAGCCCAAGACAAGCACTTGGAGGCCCAAGGGAAGGGCTGTGCCTTGTCAAATGGCCAATAGATTCAGGCTGTTTACTAATTGCACTTCCAGCAGAACAGTTAGTAAAGTGTATTAGATTAAAGGGGAAACACTATTCAAATTGGCACAGCTCAGGATCACCTAAGGTGGCCTTACGATCTAAGAATGAGATGAAAGCGATTATCATGAGGCCAGGGCAAAATAATTTATTATAGATAGATGCAAATAAAGGCTTTAAGTCTGGTTTAAGTTTTGCCTCAGTTTCACAAATGAATCTTTCTGCGTCCTCTTCTGGAGATGCTGCAGGTGAAACTAGGTAATTTCAGCATGCAAAGCAGATTCACAGCATTAAATTGTAATAGAGCAGCCCCTTTCCATATCCGCTCATCTTATGCAACACATCTTGAAAAAAAAGAGATTAATTAGGTAAGGTCAATGTTAATGAGGGACATTGTGATGTTGGAGGTTGGTCATTGAAATGAAAACTAGTAAAAATAGTTTAAAGCGGAGTTAGATTTGTGTTGTCAACCCACACAAGAGTGACAGATTTCAATATCCTTTTGGATAGATTCAGAGACATGAGCACAAAGAGCACAACTTAAGAATATTTGCTGTCATTGGGGTTTTTTCTCTCTCTTTGATTTTCATCATAACAACTTGAATTATCAACATTCTGGAGCATTTATTGATTCAAAATGTGTAATTTGAAACAGGTACGAAGTGGAAGCAATTATGTTTTTTCTATCCTTAAATAGCATTCCAGGATTCCATAAAAATCTCTAGTGCTGGGAAGAGATTTAGTGAATTTCAGTTAAAATGCTTTGGGTGAAGACAGACCTAAAGTGCACTTAAAGTTGCTTTGCAGCTTGTTGCTTTGTGATGGCTGGCAGGACAATAATTTTCTTCTCCTCTTGGGACGCCTCTGAATGGAGTGAAACCTGCCCCAACATTATCAGTCTTGGTTACAGCAGAGGTAAACTTTGTGTTTACAAAGGTAGATGCGGACAAAAGCCAGCAGGCCAAATCTTGCAATTCTGAATCAGTTTAAAGGAAAAGGGCATGAGCCTGCCATTTCTGAAATTCTTACTGCTGTCCTAAATCCACTCGTGGATAACCAGAGACACTTCGCTGCTTAAGGCAAAAGGGTGTATGGTGCTCCCTCCTGATCCTGAATGGGGGAAGAAGCCCTAATTCAAATGGCAGGGGCACCTGACAGATAAGCAATGGCATACCATCATCCACCAGACTTGAAAACAATGAGCTAATTTGGGAACTAATTTGGACAGATCGTGCAGTTTACACATTATTGTAATATGAAGAATAAATAAATTAAAATTGCAGAGGTGTTAAACAGCTATAGCCCAGTAGTGGGATTCATTTTTTTTTTACTACCGGTTCTGTGGGTATGGCTTGGTGGGTGTGGTGTGGCTTGGTGGGCATGGCTTGTTGGGCATGCAGGGGAAGGACACTGTAAAATCTCCATTCCCTCCCCACTTCAGGGTAATATTACTACAAAATCCCCATTTCCTCCCGATCAGCTGGGACTCACGAGTCAGAGAATAGAAGGGGGCGAGGCCAGTCAGAGGTGGTATTTACTGGTTCTCCGAACTACTCAAAATTTACCGGTTCTCCAGAACTGGTCAGAACCTGCTGAATACCACCTCTGCTATAGCCCTCTGATGGTGTTAGAGCTCAGTGAAAACTCAGAAGGTTTAAAGATAAGTATAACTAGCCTAGGATGAGAAGGAGAGACAGAGACAGAGAAGAGAGAGAGAGTAGGGGGAGGGAGGGAGGGGGGAAAGATGGAGAGGGAGGGAGGGAGGGAGGGAGAGATTGGTTACAAAACCACTGTTGGAGGCAGTCAGTAAATCAGGGTTTTCTGTCATACTTTATCATTCATTATCCTAAAGGTTAGGTGAGGTGGCCTCTCTGGTCACCAGCCAGTCACTCACAATTGTTTCATTCTCAAGAGTTTATTTTGTGTATCAGCATTTGTTTCCTTGTGTTCCTTTCTCACCTATCTCTCCATTTCTGAACCAAGCAATCTCTAGGCTTCCCAAAAAAAATAGAGGACAGCTTCCTCACTTCATTTGGGAAAGACAGGAAAGTCAGTGGTGGGTTCCTACCGATTCAGACTGGTTTGGCCAAACCTGTAGTGGTTTGGTGGCCTGGGTCGCTGGAACCAGCAGTGACCCAGCCCTGCCACGCCCCCGAACCAGTTCTCCTATGGCGGTGCCATCTTGATTTTCGGTTCTTTGCATGGGCAGAACAATTTTCATGGCACAAATTTAATTTTTTTAATTTTAAAACTTTTTGTGCATGCACAGTTTTGTTTATGTGCAAATACACACGCGCGCACCAGTAATGCCGGCAGTAACTTACCCCTAAAGCAAGTGCATACGTACAGTTCTGTATAAACAATATTTTTTTTCATTTTAGAATACTGTTAATGAAAAAAATGAACAAACATGTCTGTTCCTCTTCCCTCAACAAAGTAACAGAGATCTGCTCTCCTCTTCTTTACCAAATGGTTGAAGATAATGTGACGGTGCTGACGCTTCAGCACCTTGTGGTCTACTGATCAAAAGAGAGTTGCCTAGTGTGAGTGTAAAGTGAAGGATTTTCATCGTGCGCCTTCTTTCTTGATTATCTTGCCTGCTCTTTGCTTTAAGAGATTGCTAATCTGAGGTCATCTGCTTCTGCCTTTCTTCCCAAAAGTGCACATGCCCAGAACAGATACTTTCTTCCTAGGATGCTTTTATCTACATGTTGGCTTTACCAGTTTGGTGTAATGATTAAAGCACTACGTTAGAAACTAGGACAGTATAACTTCTAGGTTCTCCTTAGGGACAAAGACAACTGAATGGCCCTGGAAGGTCATCACTTTCATAGCCTTAGGAAAGAGGAAACAGCAAGCCACACCTGAAAAATCTTGCCAAGAAAACTGGAGGGAATTATCCAGGCAGTCTCTGTGAATCAGCACAATTGAATAGAAGTGAAAAAAAATGTATTTACTGTAAATAAGTCTTCTGTTGCTGTAACCATAAAATATGCGTCACTAATCTTTGTTTGAATCAAATTCCCGCTCTTGGGACAATGAAGGCATACACACCAAATGCATCAACTTCCAGTGCAAACCGGACTGCAAAGGTCAGGCTACAAAGATACAACCAAGGGCTGTTGCAGCTGCAAATGCACTTACCTTCCTTTCTTAATTGTGTTTCGACCTAGCAGGGGGTCCAGCACAGGCTCTATTGTCTCCCCAATATTTTCAATAAGCAGCGTATCTCCCTCGGAAACAGCTTTTTCAATGATATCTAGGTAGCTGGACAATTGATAATAAATCTTTAGCGTGTGTCACACAGTCTCTTGAGAACACACACACACACAAAAACCCTACTCTACTGAAAAAGAAGTCAAATGTGTTTTCATAATCACTTGCAATGGAGAGGCATGCGGGGAAAGGGAGCTCTATCAGGGCCACTGAAGCAGATGCCAGAGCACATAGGACTGTGAGGGATAATGTTTTTGGTGCCGAGTGGTCAAAGCGCTTGCGTGTGCGTGCAAAACACCAAAATGCCATGCGGGCACCCTCTGCGCATGCTCCCTGCCTCTGTGCATGTGCTCCACCACCTGCACATGCATCCCTCCCCCTGCACCCCATCCTGCAAACACCCCACGCATGTGCCTTGGCCCCCACCCATTTTTGGCTTTCAGGTTGGTGCAGGAGGCTCAAAACGGGGCATGGGGCGCGCACACACATGAACCCCCAAAATGCAATGTGAGTGCCCCCCGCATGTGCCCTGCTCCCTACACATGTGCATCCCACGCATGCCCTCTGCCCCCCACACATGTGCGGCAGAGACCCGAAGACCAGATGGCCAGCAGGAGGTGCATGCATGGTGGAGCTGGCCTGGGCTGGCCTTGGCACACATGCCATAGGTTTGCCATCACGGACATAGGACAAGAGAAGATTCAGTGAAAATTCAAGTGAATAGAGAGTGACAGACATGCATTGCACGATAAAAAAGCGGTAATGGAGTCCTCACACTAATTAACTACCCCATTAGATGAAATAGCCCATTAAATACTGAGTTGTAGATTGGCACTTGCTTGTGCTTGTCTATTCGGTTAAGCATTTTAATCATTTTATTTGCATGAATTTGTCACTGTTTTTCCTGTGAGTCACCCAGTCTCACGTAAATTAGATGGGCAATTATATAAATTTAAATAAATAAATAAGCCCAGAACTCCTATTAAAATCTGTGGAATTTGGGCAGAAGAAGTTGTAAAATTTATGAAATCTACCTGAATTAAATGGATGGGTACATAGGTTATTATGGCCTAAGAAAAACATCAAACAAGGAAGAAGGCAAACATAACAACAAAGCTGTCTAAGGAGTGTGTCTTTGGATGCGTAAAACCTGTGAGTGACACAGTCTGAAACGAGACCAACCAGAAACTGGCTACCATGTGGCAGTTTACACATCGCAGGGTAAAAGCTATGTAGCCCAACCTGGTGAGTGACTGTGACCACAATTGCTATAAGGAGGAGGGCTGGAGAGAGGACATTTTGTGTGTAGATGCAACCATCTGGATGGCAACCATCTTCTTCTCACCTGTTTCTTGATTAGCTTTTCTGACGGAGTTGGGGGAGCATGGGGAAGTGAAAGGTCTTGGTGTCGAATAATAAAGCTAGGAGATTAATGAAGAATAGTTCGTAGTAAAGTGTCATTGGGTGTGAATTACCTGCCTGTAAATGATCCTGGAAATGTTGCTATGTCATTGAAAGATGCGTGTGTGTTTCCCACCTAAACTCCTGGCTACTGATCCAGCCATCTCAAGGAGCCTGTTCCCAGCCATTCCCTAAGTGTGGGGCATTGCAAGCGAGGAAATCTGATAGTGTGGGCTTTGACGGGTGATGCAAGGAAGATTGATTGAATGCAAAGAACGCGAAGGGACTAATTATAATACTCCCAGAGATGCAAGCAAAATGAAGGTGTGTCTCAGACAGGGTGCGCTGCTGCAGGTTCGCACGGGTTCGGGAATCTGTCCAGTTTGGAAAACCCACAAATACTACCCCTGGCTGGCCCCGGCCACCCTGCCCCTCCCCTCCCCTCCCAGGAGTCCCCACGCAGCCCATTTGGAATGCCAGGTAAGTACAGGGCCCACATGGAGGCTTGGGGAGGGCAAACAATGGGCCTCTGGAAGGCTGGAAACAGGTCTGTTTCCGGCCTCTGGAGGACCTCTGGAGCCCAGGGGAAGCTATTTTTGCCCTGCTGGAGGCTCGAAGGAGAAAATGCCCCCTATCTGCCGTGGTGCAGGAGGCCAACTAGGCCATGCCCACCATGGCCACGCCCACCCAGCAACCAGGCAGAGAGCCCGTTGCTAAAATTTTTGAAGCCCATCCCTGGTCTCTGAGCAATTCTTGTTTTTGAGCCTATAAGGCCATTCTTTTAGAATAAAGCCCAAACCGAACAGATTAACACTCGTTCACCTTTTCTGTCCAAGCCGGATGGCCTTCAGATCTCGTCCATGTTTGTTCTTGATCCATTTGATCCCTTGAAGCTGCGCGTCTACAATGAGGGGCCAACGTTCTGTGTTGCACAGAATGGTTGCATTTTCTGTTGACATTCGGTCGCTGGGGAGCCCCTGGTTGTTCCAGGTTGCTATATCTGCATCGTCTGTTAACAGGGACAAAGGATCCAGGCCAGGGGTAATAGGAATTGGTACCTATCATAATGTTAAGATAAGAATGGACTGTTAGGATAGAAAAGGCACTGCTTGCGTTCAGCTGCAAATTTCTCAGATTTTGACAAGCCACCGTGAACATAAAACAGAACTTCACGATCTCTTTGCTTATCTGAGACTATCTCACTTGTTACTGGAAAATCAGGTGTTGGTTCAAGGAAGCACTCTAAAGCAGCAGTTCTCTAAAGGGCAGATGGGCAGAGAGAAAGCAGCATCAAGGAAGCTTCAGGGCTCAAATGAGAAAACCCTGCACATTGGATAAGGAGACTCACAGGCCAGGAGCTCCTCACTAATTTAGACAAATGACACAATGAGTAGAAAGAACTATAGATTTTTAGCAGGAATAGCCTGCAGGAATAACATCTTGTCCTCAAGATCTATCATCTCTTGGACCTGCTGCACCCTTCATTGACAAACTATTATTTTGACGCCATGCATACATCTTGGCAAAACACTTGAGGGGGATATGATGCTTCCGTATTTTTCACCCTTCCCATCTATCATCTGAAGAGAAGCAATGGGAGTAGGCCTTCCAGCAAGGGCATCTTGCGTGTGACTCTCTCTAGGAAGGTTTGGCTGCTACTGATATTAATGTTCGTATTTTTAAGGTATGAAGCAAAGTTCCCTTCATTCCCCAAGGTTCTTCATCAGTTCTGTCCTATGGTATTACTTCTGAAAAGATCACTCTGAGGGTCAATTGTTTTAATGGGTTGTTACAAAGTGCCCTGGAGAATAAAAGTAAAGGATGGTGTTTCCTTTCTTGGCCAAGAAGTCAAGAAATGGTCAGAGAGTTAGAGGTTTATAGTCTAAAGCTGGGCATAACCTGAAGAACCTGTCAGGCCTGCAGTTTTCTTTTGGATCTTTGGCCTGCCACACTTTCTATTATTCTACTATGCCTTTTTTTACTGTGGGAAAGATGGGAGGGGGGATTGTACAGAGTTACTTACTGTGTAGCCTAAACAAAATTCTTTTTAGGAAGCCAAGGTCATCCTTTGTTTCTGTACTTCTGAACCTGAGCAGAACTGGATTGGTGGAAGCTGCCAGCATGGCAGCGGAAGATTGGATCATGTGATGGACTTGTGGATGTGGGGGCAAGATCTTGAACTTTCAACTGGGTGGGGAAAACCAGGAAGCTTTCAGATTTGGGTTTTCCCAGATGTGCCAACATGGCTCTCTTAATAAATTGGAACTATGAGCAATACTTTGCCTTGGACTCTGATTTAATTTTGGATGCCATTTGGAACCCTGACACTCTACTTGTAACCTAAAGCCACTAGGATTAGAAGCCAGACAGATCCACTGAAAGAACATTCATCTTCTGGAATAGGTGGTTCACATAGACTTACCTTCAGCTGCTTTAAGTAAGGAGTCCAGAACTTATCCAGTAACTCGGTCCTATACTTTTTGGTAAAATACCCAACATAGGAAACAAATGCAGTAATCAGTAGCACATCCCCGCACAGAGTCTTTCCCTGTTCACTGAAATTTTCCACCGATTCAGCCCAACGCACGTTTTCAGAGGCTAATCCACCAACAAGCCTTAGGAAACATTCCAAAAGGAGAGAAGGATCTGATTAGGATGTGTGAGGATCTAACCCAATCTGGCTTGAATAGTCAATCATAGAATAGAAGAAAATATATGGAGCTCAGGGCTGAACTGCAGAGTCCTTAGTGCTCCCTGAGATTTGCTATTTACTTCCGGGCTGGGCTTCAAAAAGTTCAGCAACGGGTTCTCGGCCCAGTTGCTGGGTGGGCGTTGCCATGGTGGGTGTGACCTAGTCGGCGGTGGGGGGAAGGGTGTTTCACCCTCCCCAGGCTCTGGAGGCTTTCCTTGAGATTCTGGGCTCCAGAGGTCTTCCGGGAGGCCTGGTTTTCCCCCTCCCCAAGCCTCTGCGTGTTTCATTACCTAAGTAGGTAACATCATCAGTGCTAGGAAATCTGGGGTTTGTAATAAACCACATTTATTCAAAAGAGACAATTAAAAGGCTGAGGAGGAAATAAAAAGATCAGAACATATCCTTTATATTAGCCTACACCCAGATAACCAGGGATTAACACCAGACAGACCATCAAGCAGAAAACAATGACCTCTTCAAGGAACTACCAAGGAGAAAACCACTAATAAGGAACTTGGGAAAATGACCAAATATTTTTTTTCTTCATTGCGGGGGCTGCCCTCAGCTGCTGGGCTCTTTGGGAAAGAAGAATCTGGCAATTAAAATGTTTCCCCCTCCTCCTTTCAGCTGCTGTGAAATATGATGTACAAAACAATAAATGTTCTCATTTGAAGTTTACCACTTCCTGGTAAGTTCTGAAAGCACTCAGATTTCTCATCATTAAAAGAAATTAGGGAGCATATAACAGTAGGATAGATCTGAGGGCCACAACAGCTTTCAGCAATATTTAAGTCACAACTTTTATGAAGATCCATACCATAAGCCTTAGTGCGAGATGTGTACTGTAACTCTTTTCCTTGGTGATATACTTTGTGGCTTCTAGCAAGGGGCAGAGTGATGAGAATCAGTTAAGACTGTCATCTCCAGAGGACCCATAAAAGCAGAGAACATTGCTTGTTTATGAACCAACAGCCTTCTCCAAATGCTAACTGCAGTTCCTCTAAACAAACCACTCATCTTTGATTCATGCTTTCTCTCGTATGCAGTATTTTATTTTCAGGAAATGGTTCATAGCTTGCTGAGAAGCTGAAAAATTTTCTTCATACCAGCTGGGACTTCCAGCCGATTTGGGAGAATCAAGCTTCCCAGTGATTTCTCATACTTTCTGATTCACAAGAATGAAAAAAACCCCAATTTGATATGAATACACAAGTGGTTTGAAGCTTTAGCAATCACTGTCTGGTTTATAATATTTAAGATTCATATTATACTATTCTTTCTGATCTTGAAATGTGGCTTAGAGTCTTGGGATTCAAATAAGGAATATCATGTATCCTCCTAGGCTAGCCATGATTAATTGCAAACAATACTATAGTTTGGTGTAGCCCAGGGGTTGGCAACCTTAAACACTCAAAGAGCCACAGCTGTCCTAACCGGAAGCCCCCTGTTCAATTTTGCAGCTGACCGGAAGTCCGGTTTCCGCACCATAGAGTCTCCTCATAGTATGGCATGCTTTTTTTCTTTTATTGACTCACGACAAGGAGCCACAGCAGAGGGATGAAAGAGGCACATGCGGTTCCAGAGCTGCGAGTTGCTGACCCCTGGTGTAACCAAACGAAGAGCATCTTCTTCCAAGGGCTTGTAAGAGTGAAGGTATTGGATTCTATCTCTTAGAAATTTTGGAAGACATACAAATGTAAACAGGGGCGGGCTTCAAAAATTTCAGGAACGGGTTCTCTACCCGGTTGCTGGGTGGGCATAGCCATGGTGGGAATGGCCTAGTCGCCCTCCTGCACCATGCCGGGGATGGGCAGCATTTTTGTCTTCCCCAGGCTTTCCTCAAACCTCTGGAAAGGTGAAAACTACCTCCCCAGGCTCCGTAGGCCCTCCGGAACTTTCAGGAGGCCCTTCCCCCCGCTCCCTGAGCCTCCGTGCATGCCCTGCATTTACCTCACCTCCAAAATGGGCTGCATGGAGACTCCTGGAGTAGCAGGGTGGGCAGGGCCAGCCAGGGGTGGGATTTGGATGTTTTCTGAACCGGCCATAATGTTAGCTACAGGTTCTCCCAAACCCAGGCAAACCCGTAGCAGCCCACCCCTGAATGTAAACTATTAGCCGTTAGAGTTAACGATATAGGAAAACCCAAACAAATCTCTTATACCAGCATGTTTTTTGATGTAATGAAACAAATACTTTTAGAAATCATATTATTCAGACCTATCCCCAAGAAAATTAAGATGGAGCATATGTCCACAATATACATTTACAAGAGTCAATCTGAATTGAGAAATGGGTTGGGGTTCAAACAGTGAAACTCTCTTTCTGTAACTGCTGCTTCAGAGACAATGGCAGCCCTCTCCCCTTCCCACCCTACTTCTGGGTTTCAGTTTTTAAAAAGAGGAAGATCGATCATGGACCTCATGTGGTCAGGCTCATGCTGACACAAACCAACCATGGTAATTAACCAGCATTAACAAAGAGCACCCTAGGAAGTATTTAGAGACAGTGTACCTGTTAGCCAATGATATTACTCTATTTGTTGCATCAGCTTCTTGCTGGCACTTGATTTTCGCAGCTGTGGCCTTTTCGAATTCGGCAGTCAGATTAGCTAAATTGGCATTTAGATCCTTTCAGACAAAAAGTTTGAAAAGTTACATATATGGAAATGACAAATTAAACCGATGTAATTTCTTCCCATATTAATGAGGCAATAGTTTGGCTAAAAGAAATTGATTTAAATTGAGCCTTTACGCACAAGCTAGTTTTGAAGGATGAGTAAGTGCTGCATCATGTAACCAGATCTGACAGGGGAGTAATATTAATTCATCACAGAAAAGCAGACAACTACTCATATGATTTTTTTAAAAAAGATACCCCTACTTGTTGTTGGAAATGCTTACAAATACGCAATAATTTTGGAGGTGTCGCAGGGCCTAACATGTATATCGAAATGATGAAAACGTTGTTCGTGTGTGCAACCACACAATGTGCACAGGAAAAGGGGCGGAGGCTGTGCTGTGTGTCATTCTGCTTTCATAATCACACCACCATGCCCCTGAATAGCCTTCTGATTGAAGCGTAATTTATCAGTAATCATTGCAATAATTTCGTCAAGTAAAGTTGTCTAAAATGGTGAGGGAGAAAAGGCTGCACTAATGGGTGGTGATAGATTAGGGGGGAAAAAGGCAAAGAATGGAAAAGTCAGGGAGGTTTGTAAAAAGATATCCAATTTAGAAAATGAATCAATTTGGTGTAGTGGTTAAAGACATTAGGCTAGAAACAGGGAGGCTGAGAGTCCTGTTCATACAGATAATCCTCAACTAACGACCACAAGTGAACCACAGAATTTATGTTGCTAAGTGAGACATCTGTTAAGTGACTGTTGCCCCATTTTACAACTTTTCTTACCACAGTTGTTAAGTGAATCATTACAATTGTTAAATTAGTAGCACAGTTGTTCCGTGAATCTGGCTTCCCCATTGACTTTGCTTGTCAGAAGGTCATAAAAGCTCATCCCATGACCCTGGGACACTGCAACCGTCATAAATATGAGCCAGTTGCCAAGTGTTCAAATTTTGATCACATGATCATGGGGATGCTGCAACGGTCGTAAATGTGAAAAATGGTCATAAGTTACTTTTTTCAGGGCCATTGTAACTTTGAACGGTCACTAAACGAACTGTTGTAAGTCAAGGACTACCTGTATCTTAGTCCTAAATAAGAGATGTAAAGCTGGTAAATGAAATACTTCTTCAAGTTGCACATAATGAAGGATTCAGAACAAACTATATACTGTATATAACTTAGGCTCTGAATCAATCTAGTTTCTGGATTTGCACAATATATTGAATAATAACATAAGTACAAGAGGATAAATTTCCCAATTATTTAAAATAATAAATGAAATGAAATGAAATAATAAAACCAAGCAGAAATGTACTAAGTAGCCATTAAGCAAGGTTAAAATTAACTGAGCCTCACATGCAGTAGAAAAAGCTGTTACACTCATGTTAACTTCTGACTATCTTCTATTGAAATAGATCCAGGGCTAGGTAAGCTATTGATTGAGCCAGGTTCTCCTTCACAAACTGGTGTACAAGTGGGTATGAGTTCATGCACAGCCTATGCTCACTTTTCTCCTCTGAAGTAAAAGGGAGGAGAAAATACATTGGAATTAGCAGATGCCTGCTTGCTGTTTTGTTTAAACCAGAAACTGTGGCTAAACAAACCAACAGTGGCATCTGCCAGGACAGATATGTGTTTGTCTATTCAAAGAGGCAACATGGTGATTGTGGCAAAGACTTGCCCTTATAGGATGTCACATGCAAACCCAAAGGGAGAAGGCCTTAATTGTGACACTGCAACTACCACCATGCCTGTTTGGAACCAACTTTGAACACTGAAATGCTTTAATAGTTTATCCCAAAATCAGAGCATATTATAAATCACAGCCCTTCTCAAAAGCCAGAAATCTGTAAAATCTAAAGTCTAAATTAATTCCTCTGGCTATGTGGAGGAAAGGAAGGGTGAGATGCTTCTCATTTAGCTCAGGAATGGGTAACGTGTCCCATCAGATATTGCATAACTTCAACTCCCAGCATTCCACTCCTTGGCTGGAGCTACTGTTACAGCTTAGCAAATTTTGGAAAGCCACGAGGTCACCACATCTGAACTGGGCCAGTACAGTTTTCATTTCATTTCATGCCATTCATGCGCAGGAAAATGTGTGACTCAAGAGTTCATGTTTATACCGGTTCTTGATCTGTATAGATACAACGGAATGTTGTTTGCATGCAATTGGTTTAATTGTGTAACTTTGGCTAAATAATTAATTCTCTTGCTTGGCGCCAGCAGCGAATGTCAGCCAATTTGAACACTGATATCTACTTCAACAAGATGCCCTGGGGTCTGGCACATTACCCAAATGAAGTTGAAGCCTACTTACTGCAATCTTGTTTTTAATCATTGTGAGTTTGGCTTGTGCCTCTGCCAGTTCAGCATTAGCCTCTTCCAAGGCCTGCCGCTTAGGTGCCACATCACAGTAGACTTCATAGAAACGAACAATGTTTAAGCACCAAGAGCATAAACCAGACGCAGCTGTGGACTTGGAGACTATAAAGTCAGGATCAAATGTTGGATCATTCTGAAATGGTCTGCAGAGAAAAGTTTACAAAGGGATATATTGGAACTGGGGGAACAAGGACGTCTTCAAGTTTTATAAAGCAGCTGATCACTTAAATGAACAAACGCAGTAATGAAAGATAAAGCTGCGTTACTGTATTTACAAGAAAGAGGAAAAAAGAGTGACCACAGTTATAATCTAAGTGCCCCAAAGAACTACAAAGATGTTTGCTCTGAGCCCAGCAACTGTGATGAACAATGGCACACATGATGTTACAGTGCAAATCCCTGTTCTTTTATATTTACATCAAAATGTTGCGGAACAATATGTAAGTTAAAGGTTTTACAGCACATTTGACATCATAACACGGTCTTGTCAACTGATCTCCCTGCAAATGTGTATGAACTGATCCTAGGAATTGTGCTGTTTCTTTTTTAGCAAGTGAAACAGAGATATAGGCTATTAGCACTTTTCAAAGAATGAAATTGAAGAAAATTGTTTACTCTCTGATATCAATCACAAACTGGACAAAGTGAAAGCAGTTGAAGAGACAAACATGTTCCAGGTCATCTTAGAATGAGCGCTACAACAGTAAGACTGCTATAATTCATATTCTTTTTGCTACTTTTGCAACACACAACACACACACTCATAAAATAATGTAATCTGTTGATGGAAACATTAAAAAAATGTTTAAATTATGAAAAAAAAATCCCTATTTCTGATCTGAAGTAGAAATACTGCTCCAGTTTTTGCTCCGTTGCTTCTAAATTCACAATAAGATTTATATATAACTGGTATTTGTCTTTAAAAAGGAATACATTCTTTATTAGGAAATTACATTTAGATACATAGCCTCCATATCTAATTCAGTTATATTCAAAGTACAGTAAGTGAATGAAAGACACGTTGTCTGCTAGACAGCGTGGAGCCTGGCACACACAGTATTTACTTTATTACTGGAGGGGAATTGTGGAATGAGGAATTGTGAGGACAAGGATTAGGTACTGGAAGTGATGGGAGTCCTGAGACTATCAGAATGTCTAGTTATAGGCATGCTTGATGGTATCATAGATGGAATATAAAGAAGTGAACAAGAGGAATCTTCCACTAAAGATTACACTTATTATTGGTAATGGCCAATAAAGACAGAAGGCACAAAAAGGCAATGTACATTGAAGTGGATCTTCCATCTTTTTCTTCCTCTCTCAGCAAATCATGGAAACTGGAAATACTGTCTCTCCAATGGGCTGTATTCTCCTTTGAGAGCTGCCTGGAAGGGTACACTTCAACTGCTATCAATTAAAGATTGTCATCTTTCAGGAACCAGAAATGTACCTGTTCTATCATGACCCCTGTCCTATCATGACCCCTGTCCTCTGAGCAGAGGTGGTATTCAGCCAGTTCAGACTGGTTCTGGCGAACCGGTAATGTACATTTTGAGTAGTTCGGAGAACCGGCAAATACCACTTCTGACTGGCCCCGCCCCTATCTATTTGCTGCCTCCTGAGTCCCAGCTGATCGGCTGGGTCTTCTTCTGTTGCCCTGCACAGGAGAACGGAGCTGGAAAACAAGTTGGTGGGGTGGGGTGGGAATGGAGATTTTACAGTATCCTTTCCCCAGGAGTGCGGAGGGACTGGGGATTTTGCAGTATCCTTTCATTGCCACACCCACCAAGCCAAGCCCCACCCACCAAGCCCCACCCCGCCCACAGAACCGGCAGTAAAAAAAATTTGAACCCCACCTCTGCCTCTGAGACACTATAACATCTGAAATTAGGCTGGCCCTGACCCTGCTACCTCTCTGGAAATCGTCAAAAGCCAGTTATTTGTCAAGCATGGGGGTTGTGAAGTTAGCAAAGCCTGAGTGGGTTAACATAGCCTTATATAATTAATTTTTTTTAAAAACTTGTAGCTCCTGCTTTTGTTTTTAATTATATGTCCGTATGGTTTCTGTTTAATCTTTGTTTGCTGCTCAGAGCCGCTGTGATGAACTGGGCAGCTATCTATATCTAAATAAATAAAAGCAGAAAAGTCCTTTTCTACTTACTGCATCGGTTGATTGCTGCCAAAGGCAAGAGATGCAAGAACAGATTTTTCTTAGAAAATGGGAAAAATTCTGGTTACATTTGTCACCTTTTAAGAAGGTTCCAGATTAGCTCTTAAATTAAATCTAGAAATCTAAGAATTGTGACTCATCCAGAGGGCGACGACAACTGGGGAAAATGTTAAATTCCTTGCGGGCCTGGCATGAGAAGGAAGAAGACAGAAACAGGAAGGAGAAAATCTGCTCTGGGCACTGGAGAGACAGATACAGCCTCACCCCAAGTCAAAGGCAACACAAATGCCATCAAACTTCGGCAGTGTCAGCAATAATCAACACAGACTTCTCACAGTTTCAGGGAAGAATTCCCCGACATGTTTGGAAAGACTGGGACCTTTTGCATTCAGAGCCTCTGCTCAGCCACAATTATTGGCATTTACCCCACTTTTATTTTTGAAGGTGGTGCCAGTGAGCTACACAGAAGAAGATTCTAAGTTTAAATCTTCCTCTCTCTCTCTCTCTCTCTCTCTCTCCTCTCTCTCCTCTCTTTCTCTCCTCTCTCACCCCTCTCTTTCTCTCTCCTCTCTCTTTCTCTCTCTCTCTCTCTTCTCTCTCTCTCCTCTCTTTCTCTCCTCTCTCTCCTCTCTTTCTCTCCTCTCTCTCTCTTACCCCTCTCTTTCTCTCCTCTCTCTCCTCTCTTTCTCTCCTCTCTCTCTTACCCCTCTCTTTCTCTCTCATCTTTCTCTCCTCTCTCTCCTCCCTTTCTCTCCTCTCTTTCTCTCACCCCTCTCTTTCTCTCTCTCCTCTCTCTCTCTTCCCCCCTCCTCTCTTTCTCTCCTCTCTCTCTCCCTCCAATGCATGACCTGCCATTTCAATTTATTTCACTGTAAGATCATATATGTGTAGATGCTTCTTACTTAAAAGCTTTCAAGCAAGATTCGGGAATGTGTTCTTTGTCATATTTCTTCAGGGCATCCAGGAAAGCATCTACTTTGCCCATCATGGATTTTGCTGCTTTCCAACTTCTATCTTTTGGTATCTTGCCACCTGGAGCAGTTAGAATCAGAACTGCTGCTGTTACATTAACCACTGCTTCTGGAGGAGATCCAAAAGACTTCAGCTCTGTCAGGTTGTTCTAAAAAGGTAGCCAAAGATGAGGGAGAAGAGAAAGAACTTTTTTAACAATGAAATAGTAAATTCCATGATTAAGAAAATAACCCATTAAGCACCCCATATTGACTACAATATATTCGTGTTAGCAGAGCAGCAGAATATTACATGCTATAGTATGGCCTTTGAGCTTGGATGTTACCTAGTTGAGTAATGAAATGGCTACAACAGAGGTGGTATTCCGCAGGTTCTGACCAGTTCTGGAGAATTGGTAGCGGACATTTTGAGTAGTTCAGAGAACCAGTAAATACCACCTCTGACTGGCCCCACCCCCATCTATTCTCTGCCTCCCGAGTCCCAGCTGATCGAGAGGAAATGGGGATTTTGCAGGAAACTTCCCCTGGAATGGGGAGGGAATGGAGATTTTACAGTATCCTTCCCCTGCCATGCCTACCAAGCCACGCCCACAAAACCAGTAGTAAAAAAAAATTGAATCCCACCACTGGTCAACAAGTAAACCAACTTCAGAGAGCACCAAGGACCCACAATTCAACCTGAAGCTACAAATATTCTCTTCTAGTGGAATTTTGGATTTACAGAATTTTGGAGCAGTACTTCAGAGGCTTCATAGTCCGTGCAGCTCCAAATCCTTGATAAAGCCTTCCAGGGTAGGGGCTCAGTCTAAAAGGGATCTTGGGTTTTTGATATGCAAAACAATCTCAGGCTGTGGGGATTGGTTGTTTTTTTTTTACTTCATATTTTGTTGAATGAGAAGTATTTATTTCTAAAGTGATTTGAAGTTTCAAACAAACTCTGAGAAACTCTGCCCTTTTACAATTGATGGCTTGGAAATGGTTCCTGTAAGAGGAATCAATTATCCAGACCACATTTCTGTCTCTGGGATCTTCCTTCATAAAAATAGAAGCATATTCATCTACTTAATCAATGACATGTTGAAACAGAGTATATCACTAGAAATGAGTACATCATTTTTTTAATGGATGATTGAAAACCTAAAGGATTTTTACCTTATTGAGGGTGTCGAGAGCTTCCTGAGCAGCAATCAGTGCTGGTTCAGCCTTAGCCAAATCAGTTTCACAAGCCCTTTGCTTTTCTGATACGTTCTGGGGAAGGAAATATGAATGTTTCTCAATTTATTTGGGAAAATGTGTTTCTTTAGTTCAGTTTTAACATTCAGATCCCATCAAGGTTCCCTTGTTAGATCAACAAAAAAGTTTCCGTCATAAAGTAATGCTAAGAAAGAGAGTAATTGTGAACACCGGCTGTGTTACTGCCGAAGCTTGGTAACTGGAAATTTTCCAGAAGAGTTCTGCGTTTAGGACACCCAATAAATGAATTCAAATGAACTGCCAAGTAAAGAGAAGCACAAAGGGAAAATAATGAAGGAGACTATCCATTCTATCTCCTTGCTGAGGCAGATTCATCCTCATATATGATTGGCATATGGTGCAATGCAGTTTTCAGTGTCTATGGAGATTCTTTGTCATCCAGGTCATGGATGTCCCAAAGGTGCTTTCTTTCAAAAGGCAGCTGGACCTTCTAGTTTTACTTGAAGACGTTTCACTTCTCATCCAAGAAGCTTATTCAGTTCTGACTAAATGGAGGACAATGGACTGATTTATATTTTTTGCAGTCATCTGGTCAATAGCCCTCTTTCTGAGAATTGTTGGAGGACACTTGGAGGTTTATATGTGCCCTCAGAGTCACCTGAATCTTCTAGTCTGCAATTTTCCCCCCTGAAGATCCATTCAGTGCTTCAATACACACTAGAAAGAGCACACGAAAGGAGCGGATCTGCAGGGAACAATGTGTGGCTTTGTGGCTAAATTCTTTAGTATTTTTAATACACCAATTTTTAGCTTAATTTGGTGCCAAGTTTTTGCTTTTTAATATTTAGAATATTAATTGATTTAATTTGGTTTTTTATGTCTTTTTTACTATTATTTTAATTCTTGATTGGGAGCTACTTAGAGTTTGGTATAAGATGGGCAGTGATGTAAACGTTTAAAACAAATAAATAAAGATAACAGAGTACACTGTAGCAAATCCATCAATAATATCAATTTCTCATATTTGTATAAAGTATGTAATCTTATCTTTAAAAATCATGACCTCTTCTTACAATGCAGTGTTTTCTAATGAGCAAAACTAGTGAATGGGACTTGGAGCAAAGGGCAACTGGTTAAAAAACTATTGTGGGTTATACATATAATTAATGTTAAAATGGTTGGTTAGAGATTATGAGAGCTCATCATGGTTGAGGAACAATATCTTAGACAACCAATGGAGGTGACAATTAAATTCTACTAGCAACACTGATTTAAATGATCAAAAACTAGTGTAATAAACCACTGGTCACACTTAGTTAAAAAAAAGATGCCAGGAATTAAAGCAGTGATCACTAACCTTTTTGTCATTGCATGCCAAAAAGTATGTACATGCGTGACAGCCATAATGAAATGCGTGTGCAGAATCCATCCCGCAGGGCCCCCCTCTGTGAATGCACGCATGCACGACCCCTTCGCTGTGCTCCGCCTTCCCCCCATGCATGTGCACCATCCCTACAGCCTCCTGGGAGTAAAAACAAGCCACAGAGGGGCCGTGCTGTGCACACACCCATGCCTCATTTTGGGCCTAGTAGGCTTCCCTGTAGCTTCCTGGGAGCAAAAACAGACCATGGGGGGTGGGCACCCCACCCCATCTCGTGCAAGCGCATGCAAGTGCATGCACCCCATGCATACGTATACACATTACACATGCACAAGCATCTCTGTGCATCCCTGCACATCTCCTGAATGCATCCTGCTCCCTACACATATGTGGCAGAGACCAGAAAATTAACTGGCCAGCAGGAGGTATGTGCACATGTGTGGTGAAACTGAGCTGGGGCAACGGGTCATGTGCCCGCAGAGAGGGCTCTATGTGCTTCTGTGGCATGTTTGCTATAGGTTCGCCATCACAGAATTAAAGCAAAACAAAATGAAACGAGGTTTTGAGTAGTTCCTTCCAGGTTTGTGAATGCCCCAACATTGGAAGTCTTTAAGAAATTGTTGGATAGCCATTTGTCTGAAATGGTACAGAGTTTCCTGCTTAGGCAGGGGGTTGGACTAGAAGACCTCCAAGGTCCCTTCCAACTCTGCTATTGTATTGTATTGTATTGTATTGTATTGTATTGCATTGCATTGCATTGCATTGCATTGCATTGCATTGTATTGTTTACAGATAGAATATGTGTCTCAGGCCAGCATCTGGTTCTTGCATAGGCCTCCATATGCATTCTTTGCTTAATTAGCAGCTTTCTCTTTCTACCTCTTTTACAAGGGGAGCAACTGTCAGTGCCAAATCAAATCAAACTAAAAAAAAACCCCTACCAAGTTAATGACTTGCACTTTGAGTTCCTCTTCATCAGCAATTGCTTTTTCCCTGCTCACTTTCTCCGTTTCAACTCCTACCACATGAATCAGTTTGTCAGCATCTTCATTCTTGTGCTTAAGCTCCAGCTCCTGAACAGCAAGTTTGGCTTTCAGATCATCCACCTATAAAGTTCCACATGAAGACAAACTCTCAAATACATGTATGTTTACAGCTGCTCCTCCCAATGAAATATGTTTGACTTCTTACATTTACTTGTTCTAGCCTCTTAGAAATGGATTCTGACCACATGGGCTTATTTCAGAGAATAGCTGTTCTTAAAATAAATAAATAAAATCAAAGCTATAGATCAGGAAGATGGAAGAAGGGGAGGTTGTGGGAAGTAGATTGTGACCCATTGGCACACCAAAAGACCTAATTTACACATTGAAAGCTGAGGGTCTGTGGTATCTTAGTATAACTTCCATGCGCATCCTAGTAAAATATGAAATATTTATCCCAAATAGTGCTAATACCTATTCAGGAAGTCTAAGTATCTATCACCTCCTCCAAGCAAACCAAGTAAAATCATCCTGATAGGGTAACGCTTGTGTCAACTCGCGAAACTTTCCTGACCTGCTCCTGAGTTGCCATAGGCAGGGGGATGGGAAATCGCACCTTGCAGCTGCCCTGAAGAAATCGCACCTCAGTCAAAACAAAACACATGCTTGTTGGCCGAAGTCAAGGCCACCTCCACAGAGACCCGCAACAGCTGGAGGAAGTGAATTCTACAACCCCAAAATTGGGGAATATGACTGGTGACACACCTTGGGGGGGAGGGGGAAACAGTGTCAGAGACAAGGCATGAATTGAGTGAAGTCAGAGCTGGCTTCACTGGGTTCATGCCGACATGGCATTCCTAATAAACAACTGGATTTTTCTTGCTAAATGGCTTGAAGGCTCCTGATTATTATTAGGGCATCAGTCGGAACTCTGACAGCTTGAGCATTTCTTCCTACTCTACATGATTGGCTTAGAATTCTTGTTTTCTTTGCAATTAATACATTTGTTAGGAGACTGGTTAAATTCAGAAAGAGTTGCAAGAAGAAAAAGTGAAGCAGCTTTTCACCAGCCAAAATGTGATTGCTTTTAATAAAACAAAAAGACCCCAGAGACAGGACATTCTTAAATGGCATTTGCAACCTCCCCCACTCCACCCCCCTTCTACATTTCTTTGGAGCCAGAATTAACTCAGGCAATAATGAGAATGCCATAATCTCACCATTTCCATGCCAAATATTCAAAGGCATTCTGAAGAGGATTTGTGGCTGGCTTCACGTCTGGCAACACAACATGATGAAAACAAGTAGAGAAACTCAGTGCCCTCTCCCAAACCACTGCAAACTCAGCAGCAAGAACATCTCTTTATTGTATGGAAAGAAAGAAAATGAAAAACAAAGCAACCCCAGGAGCCCGACCCTTGGAAATCTGTCCATCCAGAATATGAATCTTAGTTTTATGGGGGATTTCTGCAGCCATCAAGGTAGTATTTCACTTAAAGGTTCCCCTCACACATATGTGCTAGTCATTCCCGACTCTAGGGGGCAGTGCTCATCTTTGTTTCAAAGCCGAAGAGCCAGTGCTGTGTGAAGACGTTTCCGTGGTCATGTGGCCAGCATGACTAAACACTGAAGGCGCACAGAACACTTACTTTCCCACCAAAAGTGGTTCCTATTTTTCTACTTGCATTTTTACATGCTTTCAGACTGCTAAGTTGGCAGAAGCTGGGACAAATAACGAGCTCACTCTGTTAGGCGGTGCTACAGATTTGAACCGCTGAACTGTTGAACTTTCTGATCAACAAGCTCAGCGTCTTAGCCACTGAACCACCGCGTCCCCAGTATTTCACTTACAGGACTTATATTCAGAAACCAGGAAGGGTATCCCTCTAAAGCGGAAATGTAGCTACAGAATGTGAGAAAACAAAGGAAAACAAAATCAAAACATTTGCCACTGTCTGAATTACATGTTGATAAGCTAGCAGGAAATCATCCAAACTCTCCAACGCTGATAATATCAGGAGGCTGCATAGGACTGAAGTTGTTTTCAAACTAGTGCATAATCTTTGTACAGAAATATCTTTTCTCCTATAGACATCCTCCCACCCCCCATAAAAGAAAACAAGGCTCAGTCAATTGCAGCAGGCTTTAGAGGGGGATTTTGAACATCTCTGCCACCCACATTCAGTCAAGGGTCTCCATCTCCATTCTTCTGCTATGGTACTCAGATTCCTTACCTCTTAACCTGATTGAGCTTTTAAAAAGAAAAGATGGGTGGGGAGAAAATTACTCCGCTCCAGGCGGTATATAATTTTACACAGTAGATTATTGCAGAGGGAGTGGAATATTAGACAGTGGACTAAAGGTAGTAGTTGAATGTGGCTGCTCATTTGGAAAAGAGTTTCATTTACATGCAATTATCTTTAGCATATTATGAGAGAACTTGGCATAATCTTGGAGAAAAAAAATATTTTCCTATAGATTCCCAATCTTTTGCCTCAGATTGGAATTTCAAGACGAAACAGATAATTTTTGTGCCACTCAAATCCTCTAAAATAGATCAGCCAAGACACTTCTAGAATCTAGATGGATCTTGTTAAACCTGAATTGAAATAACCAGTCACTGTAGGCAGCCAACAAGGGTTCCACAATGAGATCTGAAAATGGCTACAACCAAGAACATCCAATTTGCCCACAAACCTGTGAAGCTGTACTCTGAAGTTTCATTAAGCCATTCTCCAACCTCTCAATTTTAGCAATCAGTTCTTTTCTTTTTTTGGTTAGGAGATTCTGGTAAAGTTTGATCTGTTCCAGGAAGGTCTTTGGGGTGGTATAATTATAACGCCTTTCAGTGGCCAGGTAGACCTTGGACATTTCGTTGACGGTTGTATGGACGAATGACATAAACAGGCTGATGGAGGTTTTAACTCCAGACTGCAAGAAGGACCAGAAAATATTAGGCTAATTTGTGCAACATCAACCTTGTGCTCTCTTTCCCCCCTCCCCACTGTTTTTTTTGTAATTTAAAAGTTATTTATTTATCATTATCTTAATTAAATTAAGACTTGATTATATCATTTATAATTTTTCACTATCTGTAACAAAATCCACACATTTCCATACAGGCATTTATGGGAATTTCCCTCCTGAGTAAGTCCCAGGCCCAATTGCTACTTGATAAGGCTACATTTGCCTAAAAGGAGACAAACTGGATACCAAACAGAATAATGGGAAATAATTTGAATAAAGTTGATTGACTGCCAAATAGCTTTTCCAACCATTCAGAAACTCTGCATTTGTTAACTTGAAGGAACTTTACTTGATCAATTTCAACGTTTCATTTCTTATAATTCACTGTTCCCCCTTGCTCTAATTTTCTCTACAACAATCATGCTGTGAGATGGGGGTTCATTCCCAGAGAGATTCCATGTTGGAAAGTGGATTTGAACCTCGGCCTCATTGATCATAACTCAACATGGCCTCATCAATCCTAATTCAACACCAACATCATCGTCACCAAATTACTAATCTCTTGCTCCATCTTCTAAACAAATTTGAACTCTCTAGAGGAAAAATACAGTAACACACCTACAGTTAACTCTCCTGAATTAGTTCAGGTTATATATAATGAGCACACTGAGCATGGAACAAAGTACATTGTTTGTCTAACTTTGAATGAAAAGCATTTATTTGGGTTCCTATCTCTGCCTAAAGTCGGTGACATTAAAAACTGCACATCCTGAAAGGCACCAAATAAGAAACAGACAACTCAGAGAATGCATGTTTTACACCTAATTGCGTTTTGGAAATTTTAGCTTCAAATACTACTATGACATGCAGTTGATAAGTTAATGTTATTCTGCAGATTTGAGGTTTTGCATGCCCCACATACCTTTCTCTAAGAATCTGATATAAACACTGTGGTATAAGAAACAGAATTATTAATACTAAATGTACTTAGGAAGAGATAGCATGTATAGCAAAGAAACACAGACATAAAGGCTCTGGTCAATATTAGCATTTTTGACAAGTCCCAGGAGAACACTGATGCTAATGCTATACACAAATAAAATTACATTGGGCTTATACTGCAGTTTTTAAAAATCTGGAATATATGTCAAATGAAAAATAAATAAATGTATCATGCTCTTTCCAGGAAACAAAAGCTCCAGGCCAAAATCTATAAAGTGGTATTTTCAAGCCAACACTATGTGAAGCACAAACTATAACATAAAAGAGAGACATAATGATGGAAAGAGGCATGGAATATATAACTGCTTATGTAGAAAATATCCATATCAGCATCAAAATCCTGCAACAGCTAGTAAAGAGGCAACCCTTCCAAAGGTCGGAGAATTGGTAACTAAGCAAACAATATCTTTTAAAAATCTTATTAAGGCTAAAAGTTTTCCTTATCTTCATGAAGCCTGTTTCCAAGATTTCCTGTCCTTTCAGGAATTCTATTAATATTTGCAAGCTTTTATGCTCAATAGGCCAGTAAACATATTACGTTTACATATTTCTAAGTAAACATATTAAGAATTACATCAGTGGTGGGACCCGGCGTCCTCCACATGAATGCGTGCAGCGTGCATGCACATGCGTGCAGCACGTACATGTGTCTTACAGTCCAGCAATGCCTCCACGAGCCTCCGCGATGCTCCAGCTGCTCGGTGGAGTGTTATGCAGGCACTGTACGCGTTGTGTGTGGAAGCGCCGAAAAGTTTAAAGACAGGTAAGGAGCACAGGCAGGCGGGTGGGCCCTCCGGAGCACCCTACCAGAACGGTACCAGTGCTCCAGGCAGGCTCCCGTACGCCTGTACCGGGGCGTACTGCCTGCAACCCATCACTGACTTACATTCTAATGTATATATTACATTTATTAAAAAATATGCAATAATTATAAATTCCATATTTTATTTAATTTTCCAGCATCACATGCCTTGACCATCAAAAAGGCAGGAGACACAGACCTTACTGGCTAGAAGGCAAAAGGTTTCATCATGGAGATACAAAATGTGCTAGGATATGTATGTGATGTGGTTAAGTACCTGTGGGGAAATGCCCCAACTCTAATAAAATTTGGGAGGATCAAAGGTTGGCTACTCTTGAAGCCCTGCTTTATATTTTAAATGATTATTTGAAACAAACATTCTGAGCAAAATAAAGGCTTTCAAACTGACATGCTGATGTTGAGAAGACTCCTGAAGATTTTTGAATAGCCAAGGAAATAAACAAATGGATCCTTGTACAAATCAAACCAGAGTCCTCACTTGAGGCACAAACAACCAGATTCTAATTATTTGACTTCAGACACATTATGCAAAAACCCATCTTTCTGGAAAAAAGGTGTAATGTTGGGAAGGTAGAAGGAAAGAGAAAAAGAAGATGACCAACAAGGTGGACAAATTCAGTTACAGTGGCAATAGATGCACTGTGGGAAGGCCTGAAGGACTAAGCAAGGGACAAATAGTCTTGGGAAAAAAATCTACCTAGATAATTGCTAAGAATTTGTGCCAACCTGATCATATAGAATTAATTATTCAATCTGACACATATTTTTGTAAACTGTTCTATAAATTGCTGAAAAAATGGTTGATTGTGAGATACACACTGATCCTTCTTAGTGACCTCATCCTGCTTAGTTTCCGAATCCAGACAACTTTGAACATGTGATGCCATTTACCAAGAATGAACTCTTTTTGGAATGAGACTAGGGGCACACTTGGCCTGCATCCCAAAACTGGGAGGAACCAGAAAGGATTTTCAACATCTATCATATTTGTGGTGACAAAGTTTAGGCTGGCTCTGGAGATTGTAATTAAGGTTTTGGAAGGGAGCATGTGTTGCTCACTACCAGTGGTGTATTAACCATTAAGCAGACTAAGCACATGCGTACGGCACGGGGCACCACAAAGTTGAGAAAGAAAAAGAACCAATGAAGATTTGTACAGTATGTATGTACAAAAGAGGAGGGCACCTAGGAGACCGCCTACTGCCACATACCTCCCAGCGGCCGGTAAGATCCCACAGATTGGGCCTCCTTCAGATGCTGTC